CGGACAGCGGCCCTCCCGCTTCCCGGCCGCGGTGAGCCGCGTCCGGCCGCCCCCGGGTTGTGAGGGGGGCCCTGAGGTGACCCCGGGCCGGGCCGGGCTGTGACGGTGCCAGGTAACTGGTGGCGCAGGGCCCGGCCGTGGGCTGAACCCGAGCCTCCTTGCAGAGGCCTGGGAGCGGTTCGCCGGTGTTGTTGAGGGAATGGGGCACCAGCCGGTGGCTTACCCGAGCTGTAGCACTGCTGGCACTGCCGGTGGTTCCAGCCGAAACACCCCGCTGCAGTGTGTCCCGAGTTCCATCAGCGAAGGACAGAATCCCAGAATGGGTCCGGTTAGAAGAGACCACAGGGGGTCACCTGGCTCAACCTCCCTGCTCAAGCAGGGTCATCCCAGAGCATGTGGCACAGGGTTGTGTCCAGACGATTCTGGAATATCTTCATTGAGTCAGACTCCAAAACCACTCGGGGTAATCTGTTCCCGTGCCCGGTCCCTGCAGTTTTTGCTCATGTTTTTCCTGATGTTCAGGTGAAACTGACTGTGCATCACTTTCTGCCCACTGTCTCTTGTCTTATCTAGGCATCACCAAGATGAGCCTGGCTCCATCTTCTTAGCACCCCCCTTTAGATAGTCACGCCCGTTGAAATTCGTGTCAATTACTGTTTTCTTTAATGCTGGAGATTGTGTTTAAACAATTGTCTTCATCACAGAATCACAGAGGGGTTTGGATTAGAAAGGACCTTCAAGATCCTCTCTAACAGATCCTGCTGTGGGCCGGGACACATTTCACATGACTAGGTTGCTCAGAGCTCCATCCAGCCTGGCCCCGAACACTTGCAGGGATGGGGAAATAGCTGAGGATTAAAGATGAGGATTCACTGCCTGTACATCTTGTGCCCAAAGTGTCAAAGCTTATGCTAGGAAAAGGAATATAGGGTAATGATTCTTTACATAAAGAACTGGACTGTTGATTGTGCATCTGTTCTTATATTGTGAACAGATGCTCTAGATTTCATTCAGCATGTTTACAGAAAGTGATAAAGCAAGAAAGAACTTGGTATAAAGTTCAAATGGATTATTTGAAGGTGAAAATGGAAGTGTGACTGACTCCTACAGAGCATCTATTTACATGTTACTCTTCCTTCACTTAAAGCATTATTTATTTATCTCTTTAATGCAGCACACTAATAAGATTGCACAGCTTGTGATTCTACATTGTCATTTGAGTTCAGCATCAGCTGCCTTTTCTGGTCCCTGCAAGATGCCAGCAGCCCTTGCAGAGAACAGCCAGGTTATCTGTGAAGTATGGGCCAACAACCTGGAGGAAGAGATGAGGAAAATTCGGGAGATTGTTCTGAGCTACAGCTACATTGCCATGGTAAATGTTTTATACTTGACCTAATTGCCTTAGTCAAGGGATTTTTTTGGGTTGTGGACTAAGGTGATTCTTGAGTGAGAAATGATTTCTCCCTACCCCCAGTCAAACTGAACTAAAAGGCGTGAAAAAATAAAAAGCTGTTCAGCAACTTTCCAGAATTTATACAAGCAGTGCTGAGTATGGATTGATTGAAATAAGGGGAAGAAGGAGACCTACTTAAATACACAAATTTATTTAATATTTAGCAATTCGTAGTGTATTAGTTTCTGCAACAAGGAAAATGCAACAAGTCACAATTGGGTTTAAATCCGTATTTTTCCATCAGTGTGTTTGTCCTTTGAATATTTTTCTCCATTTGATTATAGGAGATGCCATGGGACTGGAGGTCAAAAGGCCTGCAAGTGACTGCTACCCAGCTGGGCTGCCTCCTTTCTAATAAGGGCAGATGTTGATTCTTAGGGAAGAAAAATATTCTGGCTGTAGATAAGACAATATGTTCAGAAAGCTTTGTTTAAGAAGAGCATAATCTCCCCCAGGTGGGAGGAATCTCCTCCTGCTCTTACAAGTCTGTATCTGCTTGGCAGCATCCCAGCATGTGTAAGATAAAGAGCTGGTTTTAGCTGTGATCCTGTAAGTTCTGCCAGCTTTGCTTAGGAGCACTGAAACTCAAGATATGAAAAGACCTCATTAAAAGTTTGGCAAAAGTCAGGTGCCTCTGCAGAGTGTGTGGGATTTCGATGTCAAATTCAGCTGAGGAAGTGAATATGTTTTTTTTGTTAACATTTGTCAATGGGAAATTAACTTTTTGCTTCTTTTTAGTCTCACTGAAAGTGTTCTTAGGGTCTGTTTTAGTGACTGTGCTGTGAGAGTAGACAGATAAACTTCTTGGGCAAGGGAGAGATTGTGTCAGGTGCACAGCTCTGGGCTCATTGTGAAAGATTTTGTGTATAGTCAGTAAAAACTCAGTAACCCAATCTGAGGGTAAGGAAGAGGTTTTTCATCTAATAGCTGGCTGCTGCTGTTGTTGAGGTGTGTTTTGACTGACAGTAGTTTTTGTTAATGTAGGCATTGACTGTTCCTCAGAAGCAGTGCAGGTTTTCACTGTCTGGACTGTCCTCCTAACAGAGTGGTAATAATAACTCCTAACAGAATCCATGGTGACACTCAATTTTCCCTTCTCTCCCAGGACACGGAGTTCCCTGGAGTTGTTGTCAGGCCAATCGGTGAATTCCGCAGCTCCATAGATTATCAGTACCAGCTCCTTCGTTGTAACGTTGACCTGCTGAAAATTATCCAGCTGGGCCTGACTTTCACAAATGAGAAGGGGGAATATCCTTCTGGCATCAACACCTGGCAGTTCAACTTCAAATTCAACCTTACGTGAGTGTCGTGGTTTTAAAGCATTAGCTAAAAAATCACTAGAAAACTTACTCATTTCTTGCTGTGAGATATGGATTAGAAGAAGAGCAAAACAGACTTAAAACTTAAAAGGAATAAAGCCCCACAGACCCCATCTCCCAGCTGAGAGCCACGGCAGGCCCAGCCCAGCCCCTGCCCAGGCCACATGGTCTGGGCAGAGGATGGGGGCCAGTTGGAGTTCTGTTACCCTTCACAGCAAGAAATTCCCAGGCTTAGGTCCTAAGGTGGTGTTCACAGGTTGATCTCACTTTTCAATGGTCAAAACTACTGTCAGTTCTCTGAAATGGCCAGTTATTGGCCAGGAGAAAAACTCCCATCAGCCTCCAGCAGCTTTAACTTACTTAGGTGTTTCTCTTTGTTTTCTTAAATGCCAGTCTATCACAGTGAGTCTTTGGGCTTGGCAATAATTTCCTCTTCCCTTCTGCTGGAGTGATGCTTTCCATTGGCAAATACAGGTGTCCACGCATCATTGCTGACTGGTTTGAGCCATAAGGATTCAGATTCCAGTACAGACTATGTGGGAACCTGTTTTGGAGTGCCAGGAGTCAACAGTGTATCTGGAAATCAAATCCATGCTAAAATTCTATCCTTATTACCCATTCTCTTGATAATTTTGTGTGCCTTTTTTTTCTGGAACAATGTTTGAAACTTCATATAGAGATATATGTGTGTGTGTGTCTGTATAAAACTACATCTCTTCCTGCTAAAAATAAATGGATGTGCTGATCTCATCAAAAAGAAAAATAACTCTTTACAGAGCCATGCTTAAGTATAAGCTGGGATCTAAAAACATGTTGCTGTAATCATCACATCTGTTCAGGAGAATGAATCTTGTTAAATGGAGTGTGGCAGTTCTTGTCTCCTCCATACTGTAATATCCTGGGTTGCAGCTGAAACAAGTTTCATTATCCCTTCCCCTGTAATTATAAAGATAAACTCAGCATAATTACCACTAGAATAGTCTGGAAATAAAGAAAGGGTTTATCTGGCAAAATCACATATGTAGAGGAAATCAACTATTTTTATGAAACTGTCATTGGAAAGCATTACAAAAATTTGTAGCTACTATGTGCAGATCATCTAGTTCTTGACTCCAAAAGTTGCACCATTTACCCCACAAATTTGTAAGCCTCTTAAAAGTATTGAAATCAGAGTGAAGTGTTTTTTATTGTGTGATCACTCCATTTAAATGAGGTATCATATTGATAGAACTTGGCTCTGTGTGTTTCCTCCCCCCTCAAATGACACAGTAAAGAAGTCAGGTTGCTGCTCAGGTCTCCACCAAGCACATCATTGTTGTCCTTCCTGAGTCAGGGATGATGCAATTCTGTTTATTCCCAGAGATGGAAGTGGAGGTGCTGATAAGGTGGTACATGCTGTGGAGTGAAAAGGAAAAATGTAGACAGGGATGATGGTCAGTGCTTTAGAGTTGCACATCTTCCTGTTTGGGAAAACTACCCTTTCCTGTGGGCCCTCATCTGTGGTGCTTCCCTTCACCTTGCAGAAGGGACATTGTTCAAAACTGTCAGTGTCAGTCCTATGGAGGTGGAATCTTTGGAATTTGCATTAGCAATGGAAGTGTTAACTAGTTATGATCAAAGAACAGCTTGTTAGAGATGTAGGAGGCTTGCAGTGGTGGTATTGAAACTGAGTCAGTTTGAATTTTCTAGAGAGACAAATTGGAACCCAGAAGTATCCTACTTGTTAGTCCAATTCTTGATATAGTGTGGGGAGAATTTTTCTAAAATGAGCTTGTCTTGGCAGCACCCTGAGTGCAAACCTTTTGTTTTTTTTTCCTTCAGGGAAGACATGTACTCTCAGGATTCCATAGACCTCCTTGCCAGCTCTGGGCTGCAGTTCCAGAAACATGAAGAAGAAGGGATCGATACCCTGCATTTTGCTGAGCTGCTGATGACGTCTGGGGTCGTCCTCAGTGACAGCGTGAAATGGCTGTCCTTCCACAGGTGTGTCCAGGATGTTGACTGACTCTGTTAAATCTCCTCTTAATTCTCTGCATTTTCCATGGAGATTGAGAGATTTTAAGGAGAAAAATTAGAAGTCGCGCAGTTCTAAAATAAACTTCAAGATACGAAGGCCAAGTTGAAGAAGTAAGGACACCTCATGATCTGACTCCCTGACTGCTTGTCAATTCTTTTGCTGTTACAGTCTCCCTCTCTTGAAGAAACTACTAACAAGTTGCTTCTTCAAGAATGTGAATCTTCTTCAAGAAGTGTGATCTCTAACACTTAGTAAATACCTTGTAAAAGATTTTATTTCTTCATCCTTAAAATGTTGCTGGTGCTCTGATCTTTCCTGTAGCATTTCAACCAACCTGATTAGGAAGCCTCTGGTCGACCATGGTATGACAAATGAAAAGACTTGTCACCACCTCCTTCTCCCTCATGGATTACTTGTGGGTTTCCTGCTTTTCTGTATTGCCCTTAGCTACGGGAATGCACAGAGCTGGGAAGAAATGTGTATTCTTCCCAGTGGCTTAGCTCTTCCACAAAAGGCTAGTGAAAGCACTTGGGGAGCATCTTGAAGTCCTACGATGACACAGAAAATCAGGATGAGTTCTGGCTGAGATCTAGAGTTTTATGAATGTCAGAAAATGTTAAGGCTTGAAAGACACAGCAAGTGAAATTCTGTGGAAAAAGGAGGTACTAGTACCTTAGATTATAGGTACTGTCTGCTTACCTGGTTTCTCTGTGGTTTTGTTTTCAGTGGTTATGACTTTGGCTACATGGTGAAGTTGTTGACAGATTCCAGGTTACCAGAAGAGGAACATGAATTTTTCCACATCTTAAACCTTTTCTTCCCATCTATCTATGATGTGAAGTACTTAATGAAGAGCTGCAAAAACCTGAAGGTACTTTCATCTCCCCAGAAGGCAGGTGATGGGCATCAACACTGTACATGTACAGGAATAAAACAGGAATGTGTATAAAAGTCAGTAGTGACACAGAAGCACCTGAGACACAGTTTGTGTCTAATGGACACTTCCCTCACAAGTGGGAAGTGACTTGCCAATGTGTTTATTATAAAGGGGACATTGCCACAGCCTTGTGGTTTGTGTACCAGAGGCTAATTATAATTCAGCATATTTATGTTTCCTATGCAAGGGTATTTCTTTTACATGAAATACTCCATGACTTGATTAACTGGTAAGAGTGTTGAAAGTAATTTATCTACTGAATCACAGCCTTGACTAAAGGGAGGGAAAGGCCCAGCATGTGTAACCTATGAATATACTCACAAGTTATCTTAAGTATCTGCAACAGGAAAAGAAGGCATCTAAATTTGAGAAGAGTTATTTATGCACTCTTGAACACCGTTCCCCACTGTGTTTCACTCACAGCTGGAGTGTGTGTACTGCTGGGATCTGCACTGGCTCATCATACCCTGTTTGCCCTCATGTTTTGGAGAAATGTGGCAGTTTTGGCAAGAGATGGATCTTCCAAAATAAAATCTCTTCTCTTTGCAGGGTGGCCTTCAGGAAGTGGCAGATCAGCTGGATTTGCAGCGAATTGGACGACAACACCAGGCAGGATCAGACTCTCTTCTCACAGGAATGGCCTTTTTCAGAATGAAGGAGGTACTGCAGTGTCCTTCCTTCTCCACTTCCTGTCCATAAATGTCAACAAGTACACGTTGTTTGTTTTGGTTTTGGATTTTTGAGCCTTGTGGCTATCACACTTCCAACTGTCAGGAATAGGAATTGCTGATATTGGCACAGACTTGTTCTGTTTACTTGTCTTTCATGTGCTTATTTTAATTTGTACACTCCATCTTAGAGCTGGCTGATTTCAAATAAACTGTTAATTAACACTGGATGTCTTCTGATTTAGAGGCACAATTAAACAATACCTGTTCCTCTTTTTTTTTCTTTTTTAATCTGCAGTTATTTTTCGAGGATACAATTGATGATGCAAAGTATTGCGGACGACTGTATGGCCTTGGCACAGGAGTGGCTCAGAAACAGAACGAAGATGTGGACTCAGCCCAAGAGAAAATGAGCATTTTGGCCATTATCAACAACATGCAGCCCTGATGAGTGGTGCCCCTCAGCAGAACATGTTTACCATATTGGCAGCTGCTGTCCTCAACCATTTTCCCTAAACAGTGTCTCGAACAAAAAGCATCTCCAGTACACAGGCTGCACCAAGCCTTGCAGTTTTGCTGAAGAGCTGCATTTTCCTTTGAAACCCAGAAGAGTTGACTGAATTCCTAATGCCAGCCTTTGTGGTTTGCCATATTTTTAATACCAAGGGCGAAGGACAGAACCTACTGTGTATACCTCTGTTTTTTTCCTCTTTATACTGTACAGAATCTGCAAGGAAGATTTACCAGTAGAATATTGGGTAGAGCTAAAGGTTTGGAAATGCAGTGAAAATGGACACAGACACGCCCGCAAATTTGCAATTTGTGTTTTATAAAGCTTATTTTAAAACTTCTGCATGTTGTGAGGGTGACAGCTTCACCTCATGTGTTGCTTATTTTATCTCTGTGGAAATTGCTCCCTTTGATCACTGCAGAGGTTTGGGAATGGATGACATTAAAAATGATCCTTGCAGCTAAAAATATTCAGAGATTTGCTTTAACAACAGAGGGAATGGAGATTAATGGAGCTTATTTGATCAGCACTCCTTAGTTTCTAATTCTCTGTTACTGCTTTGACCCATACTAAGCCTCAGCTTTGTTCTTACGGGTATTAAGGAAATGCTTTGGAAATTCAGAGGCCCAAAAGTTCACCTTTGACAGGGGACTGGACCAATACTCTGACTTCAGTTTTCTTCAACTTAAACCTACAAATTTTATTCTTCTCCTGCAACACAACTCGGTCAGCATGGACAAATATTTGTTCCTCTTCTCCCCCGTTTCTCCAGCCCCTCATTCTACAATATGCTTAAAAGGTAAAAGAGTTTCTGTTTTTCTCCTGAGTTTCTGGGTTTTTTTTATTATAAACACCTGAAAAGTAGTTAAAAGGATGAAGAACTTGGGATTCTGACTTTGAAAAACATTCTACAGCATTTTTCTTTCAACAGCTCTTTAATGACATTTCTTGAAAGAACAAACCCTTTTGGACATGTCAAACTCTAAAAATTTTTAAGACTGTCTGGCATTTTGAACAAGCTTAATCCAATATTAAAAGAGTTGAGGTTTAGAGCTAGTATTTGAAATGTTTGTAAAGACTAGTTTTTATTTTTTGTAAAATAAATTTTTTCAAACCAGGCTTTGTTTTGGATTTTCCATCAAGCACTAGAATTTCCACAGTTGAGGCTTTGGAATCTGAATTTGGGAGATACATGCCTGAAGATGCTCAAGAGTTTGTTTCCTTTACTATTTATAATGTGCTCCTGGGGTAGCTCTTAGTAAAATGTCTTTTGAGCTTATTGTCCAGTAGCTGAGGAAAGCTGAGCTGAAGAGCTCTGGCAGAGTTGTATTCTCTCCCTGCTGCTCTCTCAGCACATCTCACACTCTGTGCAGTATTCCTGCACTGCAGAGTGGCCACTTGAAGGGACAAACTTGTGTGTGAAGTTTTCAGCTCCATCTAAACTCCAGTGGTTCCTGCTGCACGTACAGAAGGCAGTTTGGTTAAGCACTGGCTCCCCCGCCTGGTTTTCAGGTGCTTTGTACAGAATTTTGCAAATTCAAATTGGTGGCAGCACTTCACAGATTAAACACATCTACAACAGGATCTTGTTTCAATCTAACCCCTGTCTTTCACCTGCTGCTCTTGAAGTTGTTCTGAGGCTTTCCTCAGGCTTGAAGCAGGAAATCTGTCAGGATTAAGTTTGCATTTTGGCTGGAAGAATCTGGAACAGCTTTTGATCTAAAAAATCCATCACTACTCCTTTTAATTCTCAATAATCTTTACTGTACTTGAAACTTTCTAAATTCATGATGCATGCTTTCCCCTATGAATTTTTTTTGCTGCATTTGAAACCTTGCTCCTAAAAATGACTTAAGACAGGTGCTGTGTTCACTAAGGCTTATGCACCCTTGTACTTTGCATAGAATTTACCTTTTCTAACAAGACAAAGACTTTAAGCTGTAAAACTGGTCAAAATACTACATATTCAAGACTACAAAATCCAGGATTGGTTTTGGCACTTTCTAGAATAGCACCATTCTAGAGAACTTATTTCTATACATCAAATTAAATACCAATTAATGGTGGTAGAAGACTTTATTTAAAGGAGAGAAAATGAACTCACAATGCTTTTAAGAACAATACTGGCCTAAGGGTCAGTTTGCTTACAGAAACCATTGATTTTCCTGAGGGCAGCTTCTCTTCCTCCTCTGTTGAAAGATTACACAGCTGCTCAAAACTTTCTCTTGCATGTAAACAGCAAGAGCTTTCATTAGCATAGTGTCCAACAAATGAAAAACTACAAAAATCCGTTATAACAGTTCAAGCCCACGCTCTACTGCTTTTCAGTTTTCTAACAGTCTCCTTAAATAAGTATCAGTGGATCAGCACAAGTGGATGTGGATAAACCTGACATTTTGTACCAGTAACAGCCACAGCCATCAAAAGAATTCTTCACTTGCAGAAAGAGCAGCCTTAGTGTTAAGTAGCTGGAGGCAGCTCAAGGAAGACAGCTTGGTCTCCAAACATCATGTCAGGAAGCTCCTGCCAGCCTTTTTGTAAACAGCAGCACTACCCTGTTTCCTAAGGAGAGCCAGAGCCTCTTCCTGCAGCTCAGGAGGACACTGGGATCCAAGGTGAAGGAGCACGAGGCAGCACTCCAGCACGTCGGGGAATGGGAAGACCTGCAAAAAAAGGAACACAAAGTGATGTCTCTAGTTTATATTACAGTTGTTCAACATAATCAGGCAGCTCTCTAAAGACACTGCTTTGTACCATTCTCAGAACAGCCAGCCAGGAGTCAGATGCATTTTCTCTTCACATTTATGCAGGTTTGCCCCTTCTTGCCCAATCACCATGGTTATGTGTTTTCAAATCTGTGATGTGTACTTTCTACAGATCCTAATCTATAAAGGCCATTTTATAGCTTAAATTTTTTATTTCATTGTTTATAAATTTATTTTTTCATACATAAGTAGCAAGGGATTACTCTTAAAATGCATGGGATGATTCATACAGGGTATCTTACTGAATTCTCCCACACAGGAGCTTTAGCTATGCTTTCCAACTGCATGGGGAAAATTATACTCAAAAGAAAAATACCACCCTGATGCCATGTGTCAGTTCATTCTCAAAACTGCCACAGGATCACAAGGAACATCCCTGTTCCTTTCTGCATGAAAGGGATTCTGTGATGAGGCTGCCCTTACAGAATGACTTTTTTCAGAACTGCAGTGGCTCTTCTGAAAATTTACCTTTAAATTGTCTGGGAATTCAGCTAGTTTCTGCTTCGCTTTCAGAAGCTGCTTTGTGAGCTCAGGGAGTGTAACCGGTTGCTTTGCTTCATCGTTGCTGTCAAGAGAAGAGATGGTGTAGTGAGTAACTGTTTTGTTAGGTGACTGTGTAGCCTCCTGGACAAGCACAGGAGAAAACTGCCATGTGTTTTATGCTCTAGCTCGTTCTTGCCGAAGTCCCAAACCAATGTTCAACCAAGAAACAACTCTAAGCTCATGCTTAGCCTTTTCATTATCCTCCCTTTTTCAAGCTGCCCTGTTTATTCACTGTAACAGCACCTCATGCATCACAAAACTATTCAGCTGCACTGAGTTTATGCACGTGGTGGCTCACCCCGGGGGAAATGCAAGATTTCTGAGCTGTATATTCAAATGTTCCTGGGTGATGAGATGGAGATTAAAGCCAGTCTAGGCAAAACCAAAAAATCTGCTGTACAAACACACAAAAAAAGCAACACTTTTCAATCCATTCATTCATGTGCTGAATCTTACCAATTCACCTGGTTGCTGTCAGAGCACGGTTTGTCTAATTCAGTCTGTGAACTCTGTTCCAAGTTGCTTCCCTGGGTGTTTCCATTTGTGTTTTCCTGGAGATTGTTCCTCTGCTGCTGATGCTGGCGGATCATTTCTGCTAAAGTCTCCTGGACCTCAGCTATGTCCCTCTGGGTGTTCTGCAAGGCAGCCATCTCTTCTGAAAGGAGTACTTGGCAACCCTTCAGTTTTGACTGTCTGTCTACCAAATCAACAGAGTCAGTTCTTGAGTCATTCTGTGTCTCACACTTAGGGACTTCAGTTGTACTGCAGAGGTTTTCACCCATCTCAGCTGCACTTTGAACCGTTTCCTCAGGGGATGGGTCACCTGAAATACAGCTCTCCTCAAGAGCTGTCTGCTCACTGGGACACAGCACAGGACCCAACACAGCCTTCTGCAGGCCAAGGGAGTCTCTGGGTGGGTTCCACCACAGGTCATAGAGCAGTCTGTAAGCCACAAAGCCCTCCAGACTCCTGCAGGCATCCATGCTCTGAGCGTTTGTGCTGTCCAGTTTGTCTCTCAGGTCATCACAGCCTAATAACAAGAAAAGGATTACAAATAGTTCATCAAACTTTCCAAAGACAACGAGCAGATCTGATAAATGAACCAGGAAATGCTGGAAACCCAAATCAGGGATTTACTCAGATGCTGGCAGAGCAGCACACAAACTATGAAAGCAAAAACATCTTTGGCATCTTTATGAACACAATACTCTGTTCTGACTAAAATGTTCTCATCAGCTACAGGAAATTCTTTGGTTCCAAGCTGCAAAACACAAGAGTCAAATAATCAAGAGCCATAAACTAAATGCACTGCATACTCTAAAAGAGAATGGGGGACAAGTTGGAGTATGTATTGCTATGAAATGAACACAACATTCTAATGTCCCCTGTCTCCCTAACCGAAGAGAATTCACTCCATTTCCTACATCACTCACACCAGGTGACACAGCTGAGCTTCCTTCCACAGTCAAGAATTTTCATTACCCAGTGGCCTTTGCACTAGCCAAATTCCACAAGTTTCCACAGATATGGCTATGTCTTGCTACTTCCAAACATTATTTAGCCTAGGAACATTAATGGACACAGCTGTGCTGGCAGGAAAGAGCCCTGTCAGTGCCAGAAGAGACACAAGGAGAGACTTACCCTTTGGAAGGATGATAGTGCAAATCTCCTGCATCAGAGTGAAATTCCCAGCATCAAAACTGCGGGTCACAGCCCCAAGAATACTTTTCACTGCCTCATCCCACATACCCAAGTGACAGCTCAGGGCTGCAAGGGCCAGGTCATGGGAGATATGGAAAAGCACCTACAGGAAGCACCAGAGAGCACAGTTAATAGTTTTATTGCAAAGTGAGCTGATGACAACTGTGGAAGAGCCCAGAAGCACATGACTTGACCAAAAGCAATTTTAGTGAAAATGCAATTTACAGTCTCCTTCGTGCAGGAGACAAAGCATTTCTACATCACTTGGAGCTGTAAAATCAGCCACTGTGTTTGCCTGTGTCTCAGTAAACAGATGAGAAGTGGGAGCAGTGGCTGACTGTGGTCACAGAGAAGAGCAGCAGGAGCTCCAGTCTATGGACAGACCTTGCAAAGTATTTTGACAAGCAGCCCTACCACCCCTAACAGTCAAACACAAACCTGTGCATAAGTGCTGGGACTATTCAGCTCTGTCAATCACTCCCAGCCAGCACACCTCAGTGGCCCCAGTGCTGACCCCTAACACCCTATGTCAGCTCTTACCCTGCACAGAAACCAATGCAGAAACAAACTGGTGGCTACACAAAGCTGTCCCAGCTGCTGATCATCTCTCTCCTAGACTAAAACCCCATCCTGCAGCAGGATGCAGACATCAGTTCTCTGGGTATGGCTGCTGCAACACCACAGAGTGGCTGGGTTTACTGCCTATGCCCAAGTAAGGATTTGTGCCTGCACAGATCAAAATCCATTCACCTGCTTTGGATGTGTGTTGATGGTTGAAGGAGGATGCTCAATCCTGCGAAGCTGCTCCTGTGCACATGTGGCTTGTTCAGTGGTGTCCATGCCCAGCACGTTCTGCCACACTTCTGTCACCATGTCAAAAAATGAGGCCTCTCTGTTCAGCTCCCAGCTGTGGTAACAGGGGGGCACAGGGCTCTTTCGCTCACAGGGGTTCCTTTCACTGAGGCACCTGCAGAGCACTTCATTCAGGCAGAAAACAAGTCTTTGTCCCTTTAACAAGGAGAAAAAAAAAAAAAAAAAGCACTGAGCTGTTGCAACAAGAAAAACAATCCCTTGCAGGTAGAGTGACTTAAGAGCATCATGCCTGGTAG